TGGGCTCCCCGGGGCCTGCTGATGTCACCAGGGCGGGACGGGGCTGACGCACAGGCCGGTCTCCATAGCTTGGCTAGCAGAGCGAGGAGCAGTGCCCGGCCTGCCGGCTGCATGCCCCCCCACCCCACCGCGGGCCCCTCCCCAGCCCAGGGCAGCCCAGCTATGATGGAGGCGGAACCCAAGGAAAAGCAGCTCATGGTGAGTGTCCCTGTGTCCCCCAACAGGGCTGTGCCCCTAAGGCCTGCAGTCCCTGTCCAGGGTCCTGCCGCCTTTCTGGGGACACAGTGACCCCACCCGTTTCCCCACTTCTCACCCCAAGCCTCCAGACCGCCCCTTCACCTCCTGCCCTCTGACTCAGTCCCCTGGGAACTCTGGGCCTGGACCAGGACCCCCAGATGGGGTGGCGTAGGCTCCCCCTCCCTGGCCCCACCCAGGCTCTGCAAGGCCTGACCAAACCCATCTGCTGGGCGACTGGTACCTCAGCCCATTTGACCACTGGGTGAGCTGGGGCCGGGGACTCGCTCCCAGAGAGACCCCTGTCATGACTGCCCCCAGGGACAGCCACAGCTTCTGTTTCTGCCAGGAGGAATGTCCCCTCACAGGAGAAAGCAGAGGCCTAGAGGGGTGTGCTGACTTGCTGAGGGCCCACAGCTCACAGGGGATGGTGATGGAGGAGGGTTCAGGGCCTGGGGTCCCCAAGGGCCTCCCTTGGGCCCCCTTAGAGCGTGGCAGGGGGTTTCCTCTGAAAGTGCTCACAGCCTGCGCGGAAGCTGGTCCCTCTGGTGGGGGGAAGCAGTGGTAACTGGGGGAGCAGGAGACCACTTAGCAGCTGTGTGACCTTGGGCACATGCCTCCGTCGCCCCATTTGAGACTAACGAGGGGACCAGGATCACAGCACTCCTCTCAGTCGTGGGGCACGCACAGTTCATGAGAAGCTAATGCCTGGTGGGCGCCTGGGGGTCACTGGCCTGACTGCTTCACTGAGTGTGATGGTCACAGGAGGGGCAGAGGGGGCAGGGCCAGGGGCCCTGGACAGCTGCCTGGTGTCCTGCCCACAGGTGGCACTTCGGATCCGCCCGCTCAGCGATGCAGAACTGGAGGAAGGAGCCACCCTCATTGCGCACAAAGTGGGGGACCAGGTGAGGCTGTGGGGACAGGAAGCGTGTCCCCAGGGTCGCAAAGCTCACCCTTCCCAGGCGGACTTCACCCACACCACTCATTCATTCACTCCCTCATTTACTTATTCATTTATTCACTCATTCAATCGCTCATTCATTCAAAAAATGTTAACATCCAGTGCTCTCAGTGGCTGGGCGCTGTTGCAGACATTGAGGAGACAAGGCCCGCCCCCACCAAGGGCGGGATGGAGAGGGCGGGCAAACAATGAACAGGTAAATGGGGAGTTAGTGCCACAGAGAAGAATAAAGCAGAGTGACGTGATCACGAAAGGCCTCTGATAAGGCATCTGCGCAGCACCTAGNGTGTGGCCTTCTGTGTCTGGCCCCCTTCACTGAGCATGTCTTCAGGGCCCCCCAGGTGGGGGCATGGGCAGAGCCTCCCCCTTGACCACTGCATGGCTGTGCCACACCATGCGGACCCTGCCTGCCGTCCATTAATGGCCATGTGGCTGTTTCCACTGGAGGCCATTCTGGCTTGTGCTGCAGCCCACCTTACACGAGTGTATCTTGAAGGTGATGCTGCTGGACATCCGCTGTCCAGGTAGTTTAATCAGTCCCCGTTGGTGGGTCGCTGGGGCAGTACAGAAGTTCCTCAGATGAGCTGCAGTGCGGATCTGTGGGCAGTTTGTGCATGAATATGACCTTGAGGGCAGTTCTTTGAAGTGGAATCTGGGCCAGTATATGTGCGTGTACGCATGCATGCATGCGCTGTCCTCCACAGAAACTGCCAGCTCGTACCTCCACCAGCGCTTGAGAGTCCTTGTTTCATCGTGAGGGGTGTAATTTTAATCACTTTAGATAGATAACGTCTTTACCAGGTGTATAAATGTAACCTTGCATTAAATTCTTAAGTTGTCCTTTAAGTTTTTCTCGTGCTTTCAATTTTCAGAACATCACCCTCCTTTTTTTCTTTTTTAAACAGGGTGTTGTCACAAATTTTGAAATTTTCCGAATGAGAGAAAAACAGGTACCTGTCGACGTGGTCGAAATGAAAGGCAAGTTCCATTGGAGTCATTTTGGAGTTGAACGGGCCTCTGTGCCCTTTCACACTTGGCCTTTGGAACTCTGATGTGAGTCCTTTGCCTGCACGAAACGGCCAAGACTGAGCGCTGACGCAGCGAGCAGCCGGCTGTGTGTCTAAGTCACGGCACATTTGTTTAGGGTTTTCCTTTGTGCTTACCACCTCCGATTGCCAAGGGAAGCTGGCCCGCTCTTCACACCTCTGATCGCTTGCGATGCTGAGGAGCAAGGATCCTAGTCATTTGCACTTTGGAGAGTGTGCGGAGGACAGGCCTTCATGTGCGGCCACAGGCTGCCCAGGGCTCATCTTACACAAGTTCCCAGTTTATTAGCTTTGCTTGGACTTGTGATAACTGTTCAAATGCCACGTTTCTGCCTTTAAATGGAAAAGTTAGCCTGTGTCTTTGGTGTTTTGTTTGTTTTATATTCTGTTTTGCTGGAGAGAGGAGGGGAAAAATACAGAGATAGGAAACCATGTAAAGCTGGCCCCCTGCCTGGGTAGAAAGACACTCAGCCCTTTGTAGGCAAGGGCTTCTACGTACAAACCACGAGGCGTGTAGCACAGGAGGTGTCACAGGCTGCACAGCCCCACTGCCCTTGGGACTGTCGGGGAAGGCGGTGTCCCTGAGGCGTCTCGCACGTGTGAGTGCGCTGCTTGTGATACTCCTGGGCCTGCTATGTGGTCCTTTAAGTGAATCTAAGAACTCAGGGAGAACTAACTGCCCAGGAGTGTTTTCTTCAGTGACCAAAGAGGGCCGCCTTTTCTCAATACAGAGCCCATCATAGCTTTTGCCTGGGAGCCCAATGGGAGTAAATTCGCTGTGCTGCACGGAGAGACTCCTCGGATATCGGTCTCCTTCTACCACGTGAAAAGCAACGGGAAGATCGACCTCATCAGTAAGTAGCCGTGCCCATCGCCCACCCGGTGGGGTGGACAAGTGGCACTTGGGGGCAGAGCTGCGTCACGTCTCCCAGAGAGTGCCTGGCCCCGGGGCAGCTGCGCAGGCCAGACCCGCAGCTCGGTGGATCTGCCGTGGGTTCACATGAGTACGGTGATGCTGCTGTGACTCACTGCAGGGAGCGCTTCAATCCCCGGAGAATCGGCCCCTGAGCTGCCTTTCCCGGTCCTGTCTGCACTCCAGCTTTCGGCCCTTGTTTCGAGTGACAAGGTCTTGTCTTTTCCTCTGGTGGCCAACACTGTGGCCTCAACTTGGGATCACACGCCCCACTCCCTGGCTTTGCTGACCTTGCTCAGCGGCATGGGCAGCATCACTGGCACTTGGCTGCTAGCTTGCTCCTTGCCCAGATGGGGCTCTCTCCTTGTGTCCTTCATGCTTACCAGCACACAGTAGGTCCTCAGTAAACACTGGCATTGAATTAACAATTGTTGCTTCGTGGTATTGTTTTCATGGGTGAGTGAGGTAGTGAGGACCTCTGGCCCCCATTTAGAAGTGGGGGCTGTGCTCAGGCCATGCTCACCACATGCTCCTGGGGACGTCACACAGGACTTCCTTACCAGAAAGACGGTGGCTTTATTCCTGTGTCCTCAGGATAGCTTTTCCTGAGATAATCCTGTAAGGAATTTAGCTTTCACTTCCTAAAGCCTAGTAAGATTTGTGGTAGAATCAATTGGCTGTCACAAAACTGATTTTTTTTTTATTAATTCCCTTGGATATATGAAGAAATAAGGGGAATTGTGGACTATGAGAAGACTCCTGTTGTGTCTCGCTATAAAACAGGTTATAAAGCAGACAGCAGGTTAGAGTGCCTCTGCATCATGCACTTTCCCTTCAACGGCAGCGCTGGGATAGTCAAGTGCTCCATGTGGCATCAACGACTGTTGAGGGGTATCTGCTTACAGAGTTTTCCTATTTTTGTTTTGGTCTTCGAATCCTTCCCGGTCAGGCAGGGCTCGCTTTTCCTTGCTCCTCCCCTCTCCCCACTGCGCTCCTGTTCCTGTGGGTCCGCAGCAGGTCAAGAGACAGGTGCCCCAGGTAGCTAACTGCTCGTCTGGGCGAGGAGACCCCCAGGTGGAGGCTGAGCTGGAACTGCCACGTCCACTGGCTCTGCTGGGCCCTTGCAGGAAGTGGGCAGTTAGGGGGTTTGGGGAGACGGTGTTAAGAGCATGCAATTTAAAAAGATGTGTCAGTCACTGGGAGAATGGATTTTAGGCTTTTNAATCTATTATTTAGTTTGAGAATTGCTTCTTTGTGTTTCCCTTGGAGCCAGATTGGGAATCCATGAACCAGAAGTGACCAGCCATGTAGGCTGGTAGTGATGAAGGAAACCTGTTTCTTCACGTGTAGTGACTGCATTTATTCCCTCACTGTGCACGGGAAGCTTATAAAGAGTTCTTACTCTTGTAAAGAACTTTAAGATTGTGGGAAGGAGTCCACAGTTTGTATAAAAGTTGGACTTTTTATTGTGAACCTTGTAAATTCAGATCAGGCTGAACAGGCCACTTAATTGTATGGTAAGTGAGCTTTAAAAGCAACCCAAGGACTGACTCCCATCTCTGGGGTAGATAGCTCCATTGCAGTGGCTCGAACCTGCCTCTTTCCCTCTTCTCTCTGCTAGGTCTCAGTTTTAGCTTCTTAGAAATTCTTTTTTCAGGATACATTTTCAATATTCATAAAGGGTTGAAATTAATAAGAACTAGTTTATAACAGGGCATGCCTCTTGAAATTAAAGGCCCCTTTGCTTTTTGAAAGGTCTTCAACTTATGGAAAATTTCAAACACAAAAGTGGAGAGAATTCATCTTAACTTTTGAGAAAGAAATGCAGCAAAGAATATTTTGTGTCCTGTTCAGCATGTTGAAATTCTTAAGCGTATAATAAAGAAACGAGAGTGACGGCTGGGTTCCAGAGCACGAGGCAGCTGTTGTTGAGGACGACCTGTGCTCCTGCTGGCTGACGGGCTGAGCATGCTCTGTTGGCAGCTCTAAAAGTTGTGTCTGTCTGTTCCCACTCCTATCCCAGCACCTTGTAATTTCACAGCTTTCTAGACAAGCTGACTCATTGGGTTTAGGACTTGTACAGAATTTATACTGAAAAGATGGGTTTGCTGTTTCAGTTGACACTCCATTTGGCCTGCGAATGCCCGTCTCCAGCAGCGGGTCAGGCCTTTCTGTTGGGGCTGCAGCATTATGGTCAGAAGGACTCAAGGCCAGAGACAGGTCTCGGGCAGGATGGCAGTGGGCACACAGAATTGAGTCGCCCGGACAAACCAGTGGGCCTCCAGCCTGCTTCCCAGACCTGTTTGTGTTGGTTGCTCTCATATTTCTTTTCACACCTATCTTTCCTTCTTTTTCTGTTTTACTAGCTGACCATTTTATGGAGACAAAACAATTCGAAGAAGTTTGAGTACTTAAGGTTTTGTGATCTTAATTTTAAAAGCAGATACATGGACATAATACATCTTGAGTTTTCCAGTGTAGTTATGAAAACATTGCTTACT